AAGCGTCTGCCTTCGGCTCAGGTCATGATCCCAGGGTCCTGGGATCGAGTCCCGCATCGGGCTTCCTGCTGGGTGGGGAGCCTACTTCTCCCTCTGCCTCTGCCTCTCTCTCTGCCTCTCATGAATAAATAAATAAAACATTAAAAAAAAAAAAAGAAATCCAGTTTTCCTTAAAAATGTCCTTGAGGCAACAGAAAAATCTGGAAAATGTATATATCTGCAACCATGATGCTGGCAGTTTCTCAACATTTACAAACCTTTCTGCTATGATCAATAGTTATATTAGTGCATGATGCTTCATAATAAAATAAGTCAACATTTGAAAAATATGCATAATGTAGTACACTATTTCCTATATGAGTTAACACATGATGGCACAAAATCACATACAGGTAAAATATCCAAAGTGCAAGAAAAATCAATGGATTTTAATGTTAACAGAACAGGAAAAGTTCACTGATAGAACTTCATACTCCACAGTGCAACTAAATCTTTAAGAAACTACCATTAGTTGAATTCTGGCAAAGTATCAAAGAGCCAAAATTGTATGAAAATACTTCTCCAACCATGTATCTCACTGAAGCTTAATTTTCTATATACATTTCATCTATATACATTTCATCAATTTTATGGCAAAAAACTGAATGCAGAAGCATGTATGAGACTCCAGCTGTCACCAACTAAGCTAGAAAAAATGATTTATAAAAATCTTTTTGTAAAGCTTGTCATTCATCTGATAAGGAAAAAAAATAATGACACCTGTTAAAGATGGTAAGGCAGACTTTTTTCAGCCATCGAGATAGGTACAGGGACCACTGCAACAAGACTTTACAGTGGGGGAGAGAATGGGCTCAAGTTCAAATACAGCATGGTAAGTGGGAACTTATAGCCAAGAAGCAGGATAGGGGTCAGTGGATGGAAAATTACTAAGAGGGGGCGCCTGGGTGGCTCAGTAGGTTAAGCGACTGCCTTCAGCTCAGGTCATGATCCCGGGGTCCTGGGATCGAGTCTCACATCAGGCTCCCTACTCTGCGGGAAGCCTGCTTCTCCCTCTCCCACTCCCCCTGCTTGTGTTCCCTCTCTCGCTGTGTCTCTCTCTGTCAAATAAATAAATAAAATCTTTAAAAAAAAAAAAAAGAAAGAAAATTACTAAGAGGAAACAAGAGGGGTTAGGAATTCTGGCTGAACTGACCTAACAATCTTTGCTGAAGACAGGCCAGGGTGATTAGAAAGCACCGGAAGGATGGTGGAGGATAAGGGAACTCTTGCTAAACTGACTTAGCAGGGCTCTTGATAAAACTGGATTTTATAAGGAAGTGCAGACGGACCCAGGAAAAGGTTCAGGAGACTTACTAAAGTTTGGTCAAGAAGAGACTCTCACTTCTCACATTTTTTGTTTTCATTTTGGAAAATAGTAATTTTCCTAAGTATGTACATTATGAAATGAATTATAAATATTTGAAACATCTGTCTTAACTTCTACTATGTCAAATACTCATAGATACAATGCCCATAATAGAGCATTTTGGATGCTCAATTTTAAGGAGTATACAGGAGTCCTGAGGTCAAAAAGTTTGAAAACTGCTGGTGTGGACCACCATTTTATTATTTTCACAGATCATGAGTCAGAAATTTGGACAAGACACAAAGGGAATGAATGGATTGTCTCTGCTCTACAAAGACCAGGGCCTTATCTGGGAAAACTCACACAGCTCAAGATGACTCCAAAGACAAGGGCCTGGAGTCATCTGGAGATTCACACATGCATCTGGTTGCCTTCCTTGAAACAGGTAGAGGGCTATTCCTCTAGCTATTGATGGAGTTTTATAGACCTAAAATGGAGTTTTATAGACCTATTTCATCTTGCTCCACTGTTGAGAGGAGCATCCCCATGTAGCCCCTCCATGTCACAGCATAACTGCTGGTTTCCAAGGGAAGCATACCAACTGGCAGTATCCCAACAGAGGAAGATGCCAAGATAACCAGGAGGGAATTGCATGGTCTCTTATGGCCTAGATTGGGAAATCACATGGCATCATTTATATTGTACTCCTCTAGGGGAAAGTCAAAAGTATGCCCAGATTCAAGGGGAGGGAACGGTGTCAAAGAATTTTGGGGCCAAGTTTTAAAATCATCAGTCTGCCACAAATTATTTATATACCTTCCACATACACAAATAGTCACCGCCTATTAAAACCATGCCAAAATCTTGTGCCCATAGTATCAGACTCAAGCTCTATGTTCAGAATCTTGACGTCTAAAGTCTGGAAAAGACTGCTTGGTTTGAGTATGTTACTCTTGAAGATTTGTGAAGTAAAGAGACAAGTTATTTACTCCCCACACACACACCATATATATATATTATATATATATATATATATATATATAATATATATATATAAAAAATATATATATAATTGTGAGAAGAGAAAAGGATAATCAGAATAGACATTCATATTAAGAAAGGCATGGGAGGTGCCTGGCTGGCTCAGTCACAAGAGCATGCGACTCTTGATCTCAGGGTTGTGAGTTCAAACCCCACATTGGGTGTAGAGATTACTAAAAAAATAACCTTAAAAAAAATAAAATGCTGGCTGCTTATCATTAAAAAAGGAATGAAGGAAGGAGTGGGAGGAATGGGAGGCCTACTATAGCCAATGATCCATAGCAATTCTGAAAGACGGGAATATCTTGTCTATTCCTTTAAGGAGCAGTACTGCATCATAGGAATGATTCTCTGTGGAGTTCTGCTACCTGAATCATACTTGCTTTCCCATAGGACCATATTTTTAATGGAGTCTTATAGACCTATTTCATCTTGCTCCCTGCCCAAAGTTTTTGGATTTAAAGGTCTCTATTCACTTTAAGACTTTTTTTTTTTTTAAAACAACAGTTTTAGGTTCACAATGAAACTGAGCAAGGTACAGAGATTTTTCCATATACTCCTGCCCCCACAATGCATAACCTCCACCATTACTAACATTTCACACCAGAGTGGTAAATTTGTTACAGCTGATGAACCAACATTGACATATCATCACCCATAGTTCCTTAGGGTTCACTTTTTGTGTTGTGCATTCTAAGGTATGGACAAATATGGAATATCTTCATTATAGTATCATACAAGGTATTTCACTGCCTTCAAAATCCCTTGTGCTTTGCCTATGCATACCCCAAGCTGCCCCTCCCCCAACCCAACAACCACTGATTTCCATTGTTTTGCCTTTTCCATGATGTCATAAGAATTGGAATCATACAGTATGTAACACTTCCAGATTGACTTCTTTCATTTAGTAATATGCATTTAAGGTGCTTCCAGGTCTTTTTAAGGCCTGATAGTTCATTCCTTTTAAGTGCTGGGTATTCCATTGTCTGGATGCGCCAGTTTTTTTATTTGTTTACCTACTGAAGGCATTCATTCACCTACTGAAGTTTCGGCAATTAGGAATAAAACTGCTATAAACATTCATGTGCAAACAAACAAAACAACTCTGAAACACCATGCATGTGTTGGTTTTTGAATGAACATAAGTTTTCAACTTCTTTGGGTAAATACCAAGGACCCCGGATACTGGATCATTTAGTAAGAGTACATTTAGTTTTATAAGAAATCACCAAACTGGGCACCTGGGTGGCTCAGTTGTTAAGCGTCTGCCTTCGGCTCAGGTCATGATCCCGGGGTCCTGGGATCGAGTCCCGCATCGGGCTCCCTGCTGGCAGGAAGCCTGCTTCTTGCTCTCCCACTCCCCCTGCTGTGTTCCTGCTCTTGCTCTCTCTCTCTCTGTCAAATAAATAAATAAAATAAAATAAAGAAACCACCAAACTATTCCAAGGCAGCTGTACAATTTTGTTTTCCGACCAGCAAAGAAGCATTCAGTGCTGTCAGTGTTCCAGATTTTGGCCATTCTCATAGATGTGTAGTGCTATCTCATTTTAATTTGTATTTTTCTGATGACATGATGTAGAGCATCTTTTCATAAATGCTTATTTGCCATCTGTACATCTTCTGTGGAGAAATGTCTCTTAAAGTCTTTGGCCCATTTTTGATAGGCTATTTCTTACTGTTGAGTTTTAGGAGTTCCTTGTATATTTTGGGTAATGGTCCTTTATCCAAATGTGTCTTCTGCAAATATTTTCTCCCAACTTGTCTTCTCACTCTCTTGACAAAGTCTTTCAGAGAGCCTAAGTTTTTAATTTTAATGAAGTCCAGTATATCGATTATTTCTTTTACGAATCAAGCCTTCAGTTTTATATTTAAAAAGGTATTGCTACATTCAAGGACATTTAGGTTTTCTCCTATGTTACCTTCTAGAAGTTTATAGGTTTGTATTTTCCACTTAGGTTTACAATGCATTTTGAGTTAATTTTTGTGAAGAGTGTTCGGTGTCTAGATTCATTCTTTTGCATGTGGATGTCTGATTGTTCCAGCATCATTTGTTGGAAAGAATTTTCTTCACTCCCACTGCCTTTGCTCCTTTGTCAAAGATCAGCTGACTACTTAAGTGGGCCTATTTCTCAGCAACCCGTTCTGTTCCATCAATCTGTCTATTCTCTTACCACCACCAGCCATCTTAATGCAGCTTTATATTAAGTCTTGAAGCCAGGCAGTTTCAGTCCTCCAACTTTGTTCTTCTCCTTCAATATTGTGTTGTCTATTCTGGGTCTTTTGCATCTCCATATAAACATCAGAATCAGTCTGTCAATATCCACAAAATAAGTTGCTGGAATTTTGACTGGATTGAATCTACTAGTCAAGTTGGGAATAACTAACATCTTGACAATACAGAGTCTATCCATGAACATTAAATATCTCTCCATTTATTTAGTTCTTTGATTTCATTCATCAGAGTTTTGTAATTTTCCCCATATAGACTTTGCACATATTTTGTTGTGCTAGTATAAATAGTATTGTGTTTGCAATTTCAAATTCTATTTGTTCATTGCTAGTGTACAGGAAACGATGATTTCATGGATGTGTGTATGCATCAAAACGCAGGTCATACACTTAAAATATGTACAGTTTATTGCATGGTAATTATACCTCAATAAATCTGTTCATTAAGAAAACCAAACTCAGTAATAACAAACCAGACTCTAACAAGAAAAAAGATACTTGAACATACATTTCACCAAAGATAAATGGATGACAAGTATGTGAAAAGATGTTCAACATCACTGGTCTTTAAAACTATTGGTCTACTTTAAGACACACACACAGAGACAACCCATTTAAGTAAAAATGGTTTTCTTTTCCAGTATCAACTTTTTTGTATGCAGTAAGTGAAGATTTGTACTCTAAAACTTTCCCAAATTTCTTACACTTTTAGGTTTTATTCATAAATCTTTTGTAACAAAACAAAAAACCTTTTGTAACAAAGGTTTTTCATTTAAAAAACCCTTTTAGCACTTCAATTTTTATAAAAAAATATGTAAGATATTTACTGAAAGCACTGTTTTTACACTCACACAGAATCTCTCCAATGTGATTTATTACACGTAATATAAATTAACAGTCTTTTCCACCTTCTCTAGATTTATAATTTACAGTTCCTCTCCAGTGTGAATTATGTTTCCTAATAACAAAGAATAATCAAAGGCTTTCCTATATCCCTTTCACTCATGGGATCTCTCCTAATGTGTGCTTTCATGTTTTCCCAAACTGGGGGATAAGAATTAAAAAAAATCCTACACTTTTTACATTTATAAGATTTTTCATACCTGTGAAATCAGAGCTGAATAGTAAAGTATAAGGCAGAGCTAAAGCCTTCCTACATTCCTCATTAATAAGGTTACCTTCACTATGAATTAGTATGTGTTTTCTAAGAGAAAGTATTAAAGGCTTTCCCATATTCTTTGCAAGCGTAAGCTTCGCTCAAGAGGGAAATCTTACGCATTCTGTAAGGCATGAAGTAGTAAAGGTTTTCCCACATTCCTCATCTATATATGGCTTTTCCCCACTATGAGTTCTTAAATGTTGAATAAAGTATGTGGACTGAGGGACACCTGGGTGGCTCAGTTGGCTAAGTGTCTGCCTTCAGCTCAGGTCATGATCCCAGGGTCCTGGGATCGAGTCCCGCACCTGGCTCCTTGCTTAGCAGGGAGCCTGCTTCTCCCTCTGCCTGCTACTCCCCCTGCTTGTGCTCTAACAAATAATAAATGAAATCTTTAAAAAAAAAAAAAAAAAAAAGATGTGAACCGAGTAAAGGCTTTCCCACAGTCCTTACATTCAAAAGGTCATCCAGCACTGTGAGTTCTCATGTGTACCGTAAAGCCTGATGAAATACTGAAGGCTCTCCCACCCTTTTTACATTTACATGGCTTTTCTCCAGTATGTGTTATGTTGACTAAAGTGCAAAGAATACCTAAATGACTTCCCATATTCCTTACATTCAAAAGTTCTTTCTATACTGTGAATTCTTAAAGGTTTTCCCACACTGCTTACAATTATAGGGTTTTACTCAAGGGAGTTTGCATGTGACTTTTAAAGCAAGATGAGTTACTAAAGGCTTTCCCACATTCCTTACATTCATAAGGCTTCTCTCCAGTGTGAGTTCGTGTTTATAAGACCTGAAGAATTGGTAAAGGTTTTCTCACATTTACTACACTCATATGATTTTTCTCCAGTGTGAACTCACATGTGAATATTAAGTTTTGGGAAACAAGTAAACTCTTTACTACACTCCTTGCAAACACAGTGTGTGTCTCTCATATGAAACTGTATACATTTAGCAAGATTTAGGGAACAAGGAAAGGCTTTCTCAAATTTCTTACATTCCATAGGCATTAATTCACTTTGAGTTCTTAAATGATGAATAAGACAAGATCAAATAAAGGTTTTCCCACTTTTTTAGATTTGTAGGACTTTTTTCTATTGTTCATTTGCATATACTCAAAAAGGCCTGTAGAATGAGAAAAAGCTTTCCTACATTCCTTAAAGGTATGTGGCCTTTCTCCACCATGAATTCTTACACATTCTCTAAGGTGTAAGGAAGAAGGAATGCCTTTCCCACAGTCCGTGCATTTATACGGTTTCTTTCGAGTGTAAGTTTTCTCACGAACAGATGTGGATTTTGGCTAACTGTTTCACCACTGATTACACTTAGGAGGCTTTTCTCCATCATGGGTTTTGTTGTATAGATTAAGGGCAGAGTTCTTTGTGAAGGCTTTTACATACTGGTTGCACTCACAAGTTTTTTTCTAATGTGAGTAATCTGTAAATCTTAAAGCAGGAGTGTTCACTCAAGGCTTCTTCCCAATGGTTAAAATTAAACAATTCCTCTCCAGTATGGCTTCTCTCCTGTTGATGAAGAGATTACGATGACTTACAAAAGTTTTTCAGCTTTATTACACTCAAAGATCCTCCCCTCTGCCTTGAATTCTGTTCTACTACACAGGAAACAAATCAGTATGACTGAAGTTTTTTGTTTTTTCTTCCATTTTCACTGCATGCAATGCATGGTTCCAGACCTGAGTGCTTTCAAGCAGAATGAAGTGACCATTCTGCTAAAAAGTTCTGTTGTAGTCTTTACTTTCACAGGGATTCTTACAGAGTTTAGTTGATAATTGATTGAGATGAAATTACTTATCCAAAACTGTATCTAAATTATGTATATGGAAATACTGAGTGAACACTGTGTGAATATATCTCGGGGAGTATTTAAAGGGTTTGTCAAATTCATAATGCTCAGAGACTGTGAGAAACAGTTTCGTTTGGGATGAATAACACTAGCCCCAAATGTCTGTTATGGTTATCATGTTGCTTTTCTATCTTATGGAATTTCCAATCTTCCACTGCTGTGGAAGGCAAGGAATTACACACTGAGAATCTTACCATTTCTACCACACTGGGTGTTTTCCCCTGCAAAATATTCTGCTGAGGTGCTGACCATTTGGTATTAAGACAAATCTCCCAATCTGAAATAAGATTAAAAAACACATTAAGGTCTTGGAGAAATAAATGATGGAAGGAAAGTGTTAAAAAAAAATAAAGGCTGATGTCTACTTACTTTCAAAGACTGACTTAAAATATAAAATAAAAAGAAATGAATACAGAGAGATTGAGAAATCTGACTACATTAAGAGTCTGGCAATGATAAGGTGCTGGTCAAGTTGGTAGGTGATTTCCTAAGAAATTATTTTATAAATGTTGAGACTGATGGTGAACAGAAAGCAGCATAACCAGGAAAGCAAAGATGAAAGAAAATGAATAAAGAGCTAAATGCAAAATTTAAAGAAGGCCAAAAGGAAGTTTCAGAAAAGTGGATGAAAGTTAAAGAGAAGTCTAAAGTACCCAAGGAACCACAGAAACCAAAGGCACCAGCATTCTCAGGAAAAATCCATCTTCAAAAGCTTCCTATTTAACATTTCCAAATAGACCACAGTTCCTAGATTCCTGCTGTTTTTCATAAAGAAATCACCTCTCCCTTTTCCCTTACTTTGCAAACCCTTCCTACTATCCTCCACTCTCCTTTTTGTTCCACCTGAAAGATCAGACCTGGTCTGCACAGCTGGTACCTGGCTCTCAGAGAAAGAAGCTTGATACAAGAACATGTAAGGGATGACAAATAATTCCATAAATCAGGACCCCCCCCTCCAGGGATACCAAATACTGTCAGGTATAACTTGAGAAACAATAAAATGTTCGTGACAACTTTATCAAACCAATAAACTTTGTTTTTCAGACCAATAAACTTTCAAATGAAACTAAAATGCAAACACATACTCTCTCATTGTTCACCAAAAAGGGTGCCGATCTTTCCCCTGAAACCCCGGCTCAAACTTGTATTTCGAAACATTTTTGAAGTCCTAAGCCTTTCAATCCATAGAGAAAATAAAACCAGAACGACAAACAGATCTTCATTTTCAAGAGGAAGCCACTTCAAGATAAGATCTACAAGAACAGAAACAATGTCTGCTCTTTTTACCATTGCATTGCCATTAGTCAGCACAGTCTAGAATACAGTCATTTAAGAGAGATTTGTTCCAGAAAAAGCTAAATGAAGACATGGCACCAACCTTACCTATTGCAGCCAGACTCTTGTAGTTCTCCAGCATCACATCTCTGCACAGCCTTCTCTGAGTTTGATCCAGCAAAATCCACGCCTCCTGGGTGAATTCCACAGCCACATCCTCAAAGGTCACTGGGTCCTAAACCATCACAAACATCCCAGCCTCAGGCAATTGCCATCTAAACCCATGTTCACTGGAGAAAGAGAATGGGAGACCCAAAGCTTAGATAGCGTTCCATGTTCTCCCATCATCTCTCCCAGGGATTGATGGTCCTCATGCCCATTCTCCTCTCTACCTGGACATACTCACTGGTGACCTCATCCAGTCATAGAGCTTTAAGAGCACCTCTTTTACCCAATTGAATGTATCTCACCACAGCTACATTGTACATTTTTCTAGTCTTATTCGTCTCTATTGACAAGACTTACCATAATCTGAGCACATTACAGACACAATAAATGCTGGCGAATAAATGAATCATTCCTCCGGCGATAGCACAAATTCTGAGAAACACATGTCCACTCCCTCACAGTGTATCATAGCACACTAAGAGCACACAATCAGCACAGATGAGAGTTGGACTGAATTAGTAAATACTGGGATAATAGTATCATTTCCCTATGTCATCTGTCAACTACATAAAAAATCCTGAAACCTGAGGAAATTTATCTGGGTACTCAGTCCCTAGGCAGGCCCTATATACATAAAGAAACACTGTTCCACTAGAAGAAAACATGTCTACCTGGTAGGAAGAAGCATGTACTTTTATAAAAGAATAAATTTCCTACTTACCCGAGAATAATTTGTCAGACACCTGGTCACTATCCTTTCCTCTTCTGACTTCTCCTCACAAAGACAGAAAAAAAGGGTGACCTTGGGGAGAAGAAATAAAACCTGAGAACCCAAACTGCCCAAAATTCCCACTCAGGCTAGAAGCTACTCCACACTAATTCTAAATTGACACACCTGCTGTTGCCATAAAATACCCAAGCAGACTACCTCATCCTCATCTGAAATCAGAAGGGTTTTGAGCTTTGGGAGGAAAAATTCCATTTTACAGAAAAAGAAATTTAAAGTCCAGAGAGGTAAAGTTGTTTTCTTTGGCCAACAATAATGAATCTCATCACGTGACTAAGCAGACTCTCTCCCACAAAAATACCCACCCCTCCTTCCCAAATCCCAGGACGTAGACATCAGAATGTTCTTATCTACTTAAGCCCCCTCCTGGACAGTACACAAACAGGTCTGCTTAGACACTGACCACAAGACAGGCTGTTCACAAGCCAGGTAAAACAGTCTGACAGGAGCATCAACAAGGACTTACCACAAGAGAAAAGATCAATGGCTGGCATCCTGTGGGTATGACAGTAAAACCTCCCTGAACTCTCTTGTTCCCAAAGTCCTTCAAGACAGTGTCTGAATTTAATGGAGACAGGTCAATTTCAATTCCTCTTGATTAAGTAGCAGTGGAGTCTTGCCACATACCATCAGTCTTTAAGCAACAGGTAGTACTCAGCTGTCATGAAGCATCATTCATTAGTCAGCTCTCTGTAGAAGATGAAGTTACATTACATGAAAGCCATTAAAAATTGTAGAGTATACCACATGAATATAAATAACAATCGTCATTTACTGAATACCTATTATCTGCCAGAAGCAGTGGTAGCTCATATGATTATCAACATGGTTATTATTACTGTCATTCCACAGCTGAGGCAATCTACATTGAGATAGAAGCAGTCACTGGCCCAAAATCACCAATTAGGAAGAGCCAGAGTCTGAATACAGGTTACTCTAGCTCAAAAGCCTGAACTCCTAAGGTTATTGTTATTTGCCAACATACCTGGACAACGATTATAAAATGGTGTGCAAGAAATAATTCAGCAGGTCTGGGTTGCTCAAATCCTGCACTTTCCTGAGAAAAGCCTGTCTTCAGATCTACTCTTGGCGGGGCTTGTGGGAGACAACCTGAGTCCATGGAATACCCTGCCTGGTAATGTCTGAAGCCTTGGGCCACACAGTTACCAGTTGGACCAGATAGTTTATGCTAACAATGTGATTTATGGTGAACATCTGTTTTTATATGCCTGAGTCTTTGGGCAATGTTCTAACAGTTTGAACTCAGGCTGGAGCCTACATGGCTGAAGTCAGTGGTACATGCCTATGGGACTGACCCACAATGAAAACCTGGACACCAAAGCTCAGGGACTATAGACTGAATGTTTGTACCTCCCTGCCTCTTCATACATTGTCACCTAATCCCCAGTGTGATGGTTTCTGGAGATGGGGCCTTTGAGAGGTAATTATGGGATTAGTGCCTTTATAAAAGACCCCAGAGAGCTACCTTGCCCCTTCTGCCATGTGATAACACAGTGAGAAGATTGCCTTCCATTAACCAGTTAAGTAGGTCCTCACCTGACACCGTATCTGCTGGCATTTTGATCTTGATTTTCCCAGCCTCCAGAACTGTGAGAAATTTCTGTTGTTTATAAGCCACCCAATTTATAATATTTTTGTTACAGCAGTCCAATTGAATAATCTAATGTACCGGGTGAGCTTCCTTGGTTGGCAATATTTCACATGCGATGTTACACATTATTACTAGGAATATTAAGCAATGCCCATTTGACTGCACTGGGAAAAGACACTTGGATGCTTGTGCCTGGTTTGTTTTGGAATTAATCCCATGTGCCTTATCCCTTTGCGGATTCTGATCTGTATTCTATAAACTATAATGGTGGGTTTACCAGCATGAGTCTTGGGAGTCCTACTGCATTGCTGAGCATGAGGGTGGTCTTGAGGATCCCCAGCACAAACGGTTTATTTAATTCAGACATCTTTGAGCTCCTCCAGCTGGCAAAACCACATAGGCCCAGTTGCCTTCCTTCAAGTCTTTATATCAGCTTTTGCCTTCATTCATTATGCAAATTTTTACAAAGGTCCTTCCCTTTGCTACATAATACACTGTGCACTGAGGAGAGCACAGTGTAATTAACAGAAAATGCCCCATACCTTAGATTTTTCACATTCCAAAGGGCTAAGCAGGTACTAAACAATAAATCTGTATTCTATTAGTTGGTGTTAAGCCCTAGGGAAAAAATATGAACAGATAAGGAATATTATCCTCTGCCTTCCCCAACACACACACACATACACCCAAGGATTTTTCTTAGCAAACTCAGAACTAGCTCTGCAAAAGATAAAAACAGAATACAAAAACAACCATTTCAGAAGGCTCTTGAAAAACTGGCATCTGACTTGCCTAAAAAGTGACATTCAACTTTTGATCCAAAGCACTAGAACAATTCCATGGTAAACAAAATAAACTCAGAATACATTTCAAATACTGCTCTACTTCAGTGCATATCAGTTTAGAAACGCTCATGTAAGAGATCTGACCAATCCCCTGAGTCTTACCAGAGGGTATAAAATGTTGAGTAGGTGGAGTGCTAAATCAGACTTTGCCCAAAGTTTATCTACTTTTTTCCTAAAAAAACCTCTTAGTTCTTTTTTTCATTAAATCTGCCTTTTAAAAATTCCTTCCTTACTTATACTTTTATTTTTTTAATTTATGCTTTATGTTCATTTTGTTGGTCTTTTCAAATACCTGGAAATTACAGTTAATTTTTCAAACATTTTATTGAATTACACATTCAAACAAGTGTAGAATTACTAGTGTACAGTACATTATCATGAAATTCTCCACCCTGAAGCACTCATATGCCTCTTCTAAATTACTCCTTTCTCCTCAAATAGCACTATTCTGACTTCTAACAATGTAATTTTGCCTGTTTTTGAACTTCATATAAAATCATACGATATGCATTAATTTGTGTCTAGCGTCTTCCATTCAACATCCTACTCAACATGCTTCTCCCTCTCCCTCTGCCCCTCCTCCTTGCTTGTGTTCTCTCTCTCAAATAAATAAATCTTAAAAAAAAAAAAAAAGTACAAAGTGAACTGGGAATTTATTTTAAAGACTAATAGGGTTTAAAGACTAAAAGGATTCATGCTGAAGGGACACAGGATTCAAAAGGACTACCCTTGGGCAAATTTGGGACAGTTTGAGCATCAAAATAATAGTGAATGAAAGAAAAGTCCAAGAATATATTGTGATACTCCAAAAAGAAAATAGTATAGAGGACAGGGGAGGTGGGGAAAGAAAGCTGAATAGCTAAAGAATGGAGAAGGAATGACAGGAAAAACACCATTTTGTAACACCCCCTCCCCCATGTAAAAACAGATTGAGGCAAAAACTGACAAGTGATGTGAAACCCTTGGATGAAAGACTGTTAGGAGGGGCGCCTGGGTGGTTCAGTTGTTTAGCGCCTGTCTTTGGCTCAGGTCGTGATCCCAGCGTCCTGGGATCAAGCCCCGCATTGGGCTCCCTGCTCTGCGGGGAGTCTGCTTCTCCCTTTCCCACTCCCCCTGCTTGTGTTTCCTCTCTCGCTGTGTCTCTCTCTGTCAAATAAATAAATAAAATCTTTAAAAAAAAAAAAAAAAAAGAATTTCCAACGAAAACTCAGCATCCACACTGAGATCCAGTGCACATACACACTGGGTTCCAGCAACTTACCACAAAAGGAAAGAAATGTAAAATTTCTCATTAATAATTCTCTACTAACTACATTAGTCACTAATTTCACTAATTTATACCGATAACTGGGTAAGTTGGATTAAATAAGACACACTAAAAATAATTTCACAGGTTAAAATTTTTACTTTTTTAAAGGTTTTATTTATTTATTTGACAGACAGATCACAAGTAGGCAGACAGGCAGGCAGAGGGAGAGGGAGAAGCAGGCTCCCCGCTGAGCAGGGAGCGGGAAACGGGGCTGGATCCCAGGATGCTGGGATCAGGACCTGAGCCCAAGGCAGACGCTTAACCGACTGAGCCACCTAGGCGCCCCTCAGGTTAAAATTTTTATTTGGTTACTAAAGATTATAAAAAATTACATCTGTACCTCACAATATATATATATAGTACTGCTCTAGACCCAAGTCTCCTTTACAAGAAGTAGACAAGTTAATTAAATGAAATCCTAGGAAGGGACGCCTGGGTGGCTCAGTCGTTAAGCATCTGCCTTTGGCTCAGGTCATGGTCCCAGGGTCCTGGGATCGAGTCCCGCATCGGGCTCCCTGCTCAGCAGGGAGCCTGCTTCTCCCTCTGCCTGCTGCTCCCCCTGCTTGTGCGCTCTCTCTGACAAATAAATAAATACATGAAATCATAGGAAAACAACATCATATTGGAACGCCAACATTTCACAGTAAAATTCTCTCGGAACGTTCAAGAACCAAAACTATTTTTTTTTTTAATGCAGGTAAATATTTCAGGTAAAAGGGATCAGAGAGCTAAAACAAAAATGCAATATGCAAATCTTGTTCGGATCCTAGCTCCCCCCAAAAATCCCGACAACTCTAACAGATACTTTCGGAAAACTGGAGAAATCCTACTTCCTGGAGTTTTTAGTAGAAGATTGTCCCGATGCATGCTTACCATTAAGGGGTGAAGTCAATGTCTGCAACTTACCATTCACTGGTTCATCCTAACAATACATATGACGAGACAAAAATCTTAACAATTAGTGAACGTGGATGAAGGTTCCACGGATGCTCGTTTCATTGCCGCTGCGTATTTTAAGGGCCAATACGCGAAAGAAAACCCCACCCGTCCAAACTCATGTTACTTTAGGTCAATTCAATTCCAGCTAACGGCAACGGGCCAGCCTCGTCCTTCCCCTCAGAGGCTCCTACACCGGAAGCGCCGGGCGTCGGCAGCGGCGCATTCATTCACTCCTGCGTTTATCTGTGTCACACACACGTGCTCCCTAAGAACCTGCAAAGGTCCCTCTCTCCAGCGGAGAACTTACCGAATTCCAATCACCGACACCCACAAGTGCACCGCGTGCCCGCCTGCAGGAAACACAACCGCCAGGCTGCCGGCGGCAGGGGTCGCAGGAGCCGGAGTCACCACGACCAGAAAAGGCCTGGGCGGCACGCCTCTCCCCGGGGCTTCCGTCGCCGCCCCGGGGACCCAGCCGGCCCCGGCTCTTGGAGGAAGGGACCTTCAACCTTGCGCCCCCCCCCGCGGTCCTTCCTTCCCGCGTAGGCGCTCCAAGGCCGGCAGCTGAGAGGGGAGGACTTCCCCTCAGACGCGGGAGTGGCGCGCGGCCAAAATGGCCGCCGCCCTGCGCATGCGCTTTTCGGGTCTCCGCGAGCCGCGCAAGGGGCGGGGCCTCGCGGGAAGGGAGCGCTGCAGAGGCCTGTTGTGCCAACCAGCTGGGGGCTGGGGGAGGAGAGATGCCGTTTTCCTCCCGCGGGAACGAAGCGGGCCGCTGGGTCCGAAGCGGCTTATTTTCCTCCCCAGCCCGTGCTCTTACATGTCTTAACTGAATAAGATTTGCGTTCAAATCTTGGTGCATACGTGAACGCATCATACTCTTCATTGCATAGCTTGTTGCACGTTTCCGGTGGAGATAATGAATACAATCGCTGCATCGCTGCATCGCTGCACTCGAGCTTTTCCTATGGCCACATAAAGTCACTATTCATGATTCATTTTTCTTCAATATAGTTCAGCCTCCTGGTCTGTGATTCCCTTTAACCTGGGAAGGGAGCTGCAAACTGCACCTGAGGAAAGAGGGAGAAAACGCTACAACAGCACCTCAGTCCACTACGCTGGAGGTGAAGAGGTGACCCTAAGTTTAAATAAGATGGTTTGTCTAGGGGCGCCTGAGTGGCTCAGTCGTTAAGCGTCGGCCTTCAGCTCAGGTCATGATCTCAGGGTCTTGGGATCGAGCCACGCGCTCCCAGCTCAGCGGGAAGCCTGCTTCTCCCTCTCCCACTCCCCCTGCTTGTGTTCCCTCTCTCTCTGTGTCTCTCTGTCAAATAAATAAATTAAAGTCTTAAAAAAAAAGATGGTTTGTCTAGATGTGCAGCTGAGGCTACTGTCTTTACTGGGTTAGGAGAGCAACTGTTACGCCTAATGGGCCTCTGATTTCCATTATGATTTTGAGTTAAAAGTCTAAGAGCTTGGCCATCCCTTTCAAGTACTAAGAAAAAGAAAAGCGCTTACTATAATTTGGGAGACCCAGAGTGGGAAATTTCTCCATATTAGCCATGGCAGAGCGTCAGGGATGTCATTAGTCACGTCATAGAAGGAGGCAGATAATTACATTAAGTTGGAAATGGACAGTCTACAATAAGTCTTAGGAATTCTCTAAATTGTCTTTTGGTGAAAGGGGAGGGAATTCTGAATTGCTGTAACTCTTCTTGGCTTGAGGGATTTGTTTCCCTGGGATATGTCAAGGACTAGGTAGTGAACCTGCTATTCTGATAGAATTGTAATTTATTCTCAGAAACTCTGAGAAACCTTACTAAATGCAGTCAGGAGGCCAGAGGGGAAACTTACAGGATACCACTCCTTAATCACTATAAGAATTATCAATTATACACTCCCCAACAGAAGAATCCTCAACGGGAAATTACATTCCCCAACAGAAGATGTACATTGCATCTCCTATAAGAAATAGACTTCCCCAGCAACTCAGTCAATGAGAAACTATCATCACCCTGAACTCTTCCTTTTCTGCAATGGACTCTTGTTCAAAACAACCCCTCCCAACTTTCTCCTTCTCCAAAAAATAATGTTTCTCTCCTTTGTTTGTTGAACTAGTGTATGGTTTTTGCTGTAGGTTGTTTGTCCCAAATTGCAGTTCTCTGCTATTCCCAGATAAACCTTTGTACACTTTCCCTAGCTCCTTCCTTTGCTCCTCCTGGGAGATCGGAAAGTGTGTGTAGCTGACACACTGCTCAGAGAAAAATGCAGCCAATGAGA